GGCCTCCCAGACGGCCCAAGAGGCCTCCAAGAGGTCCTCCAGGAGAGTCCGAAGAGGCCAAAATCATTGATTTTCCCTTGGTTTTTGATGGATTTGGGCATTTCCCTTTTTCGGCCTTCCGACGGCCCGAGACGGCCCAAGAGCCCCCAAAGATCGCCGAAAGATCGCCCAAGAGGCCTCCAAGACGGCGACGATGACCATCAAGACGCCCACGTGTTCCCCGAAGGCTTTCCAAACCGATTCGGGGAACACATGGTCCGATGGCTTGGCAGGTCTGGCCTCAACGTTCGGCCACATAGGCGCTTCCACAAAGGCAGGGGGCGGCGGTGATTCGCCGTAGGCGTCTTCGATATGAATAAAAAAGGAGGGAGGCTATCGGGCGACGCTACAATCCAATTGGAACGAGTCCAGTTGGAACCGAGGGGCTCCGTCTGGCGGGCCTGCCGTGGACTTCGCCCCTCCCGAAGATAGATTGTATCTGCGAGGGGGCCCAGCCGGCAGCGGGAAACCAGTCCGCGCACTTCTGCCCCGACGGGAATGGGAGCTGGACGAGACGCGCGCACTCTTTGCCGACACTGCGCAGACACAACAGTAAACACGAACAGAAGCAGCAAACAGAAAAAAACAAAAAACTGATCAGAGCAACAACTCAAAACACGCGATGCCTGAGCTCGACTGTGAACGCTTGGGCGATTCTGGTCCCCAAATGGAGCTTTCGAAGCGTCGAATGCGCGGTTCGGAATAATCAATCCAAGCTCCCAGCCCGCAGCACACCCTACGATGGTCCCTGGAGCCGGTTTGACAGCCTCTTGGCCAAGGGGACCAACCCAGGAGACCCGGAACCGTCAAAAGACCGCATGCTACCGCTGCATATCAAAAAACGAAGACGACGATTTCTTCCGAAACGACTTCTTCCGAGACAACTTTGTCTGGATGAACTTTCTTACAGAAAGAGTTGCCTGGAACAAACTCTCAAGAAGAAAAATCGCCCCGATAAATTGTTGTCGGAAGAACTCTTTTCCGGAAGAAGTCGCCCAGAAGAAGTCCGCCTGACGAAGTCGCCCGAAAGAAGTCCCTTCGGAAGACCTAGACTGCGGGAGAAAACGTTCCGCACGATGCATCTGTGGTTTCATGTCGAAGAAGCTTCTTGCGAGAATGATCTCGCCCCGGAAAAAGTTGTCCCCCTGCAAGAAATCGCCCCGGAAAAAGCCGCCCGGAAGAAGTCACCCCGGAAGAAGTTGTCCTGAAAGAAGTCCCCAGACGAAATCCTATCGAACAGCTCCTCTCGGAAGAAATAGCCATAGCCTGAAAGATTTCTCCGCGGAATTGCCACGTGATGAATAGAGCGAAGGTATACTTGTTGTTCGCTCCCCATGTCATTGCCACGTGGCGCGTGGAGTGGGATGATATCTGTTGTTGCCTCGCAGGCCTTCCCACGTGGCGTTGCCGTGTGGCGAGTAGAGTGGAGTAGCACGAGTTCCCGCCCGCTTCGTTGCCACGCGCTCGGGCGCTGCCACGTGGCGAGTACAGTGGAGTAGCATTTGTTCCCCCCTCTGAGCGCTGCCACTTGAGAGTGGAGCAGTACTCCAGATTTCGTAGTAAAGGGAGGGGGGTCTCATTTCGGAGGGGTCTCTTCCAGGCTATCTTGGAGGGCCTGGGGGGGTCTGGGGACGATGTTTTGGAGGGTTCTCCCACGGGGGAGGTCTGAAATGGCTTGTCTTGGAGGGTCCAGACCCCCTCACTTTTATTACGAGATCTGGAGTATCTGTTTCGCTCCCCCTTTATTGCCACGTGGCGAGCAGAGTGAACAAATGTGTGCTCTGCCTCGCAGGCGTTGCCACGTGGCGAGTCGTGGAGTGGAGCATTTTGTGGTTCGCTCCGCAATCGCTTCCACCTGGCAAGTCGCGCGGAATGGTATTTTTGTCAGTCCCGCAGGCGTTGCCACGTCGCGAGGAGAGTGGAGTAGCACAGTTGTTCGCCCCAGGCGTTTGCCACGCGGCAAGTACAGTGGAACAGGTTCAAGTTCCGCCCCGCAGGCGTTGCCGCGTGCCGAGTAGAGGGACCAGGGAGGAGAGAAGAGGAGAGAGGAACGAGGAAGGAGGGGGGGAGTAGGAAGGAGGCAGGAGGGAGGAGGGCTGAGGGAGCAGGAGGAGGAGGAGGTAAGATAAGGGAGGGAGGAGGGAGGAAAGAGGAGGCAGGAGGGAGGAGGGAGGAGAAGGGAGAGGAGGCAAGCGGCAGGAGGAGGAGGGAGGAGGGAGTGGGGAGGAGAGGAGGATAAGAGACCTGGGAGGAAGAGCGAGGAGGTGGAGGAGGAGAGAGGAGGAGGTGGGAGGATCGGAAGAAGGATGAGAGGGACGGGGAGGAGCGAGGAAGAGAGGTGGAGGACGAACGATGAGGGGGAAGTAAGCGGGGCCGAAGGACGACCGAGGAGGGGCGAGGCGGGGCTGGTCTGAACTGGAGTCTTGGGCTTCGCCCCTCTCGGTTTTTCGGGTTGGGGTTTCGTCGGCGGTTCGGGCTTCGCCTGTGGGGAGATGTTCGGGTTTCACTTATTTTCCATTTTCAAATTTCGTGGCTGGTTTTCGGGTTTCGCCTCGGAATATTATGGCTTGCGCCTTGCTACCGTGTCAGCGGACTCCCCCCCCCCGGGGAGGACGACCGCGAGGAAAGAAACCTCCCTCCCCTGGGGGAGGACGACGAGGAAAGGAACCCCCCTCCCTCCCCCAAAGTCGCAACATTAGAACTCACCACTAAGGTGTCGGCCAGACGCGTGCGTCCGGAAAAACTGTCCATGAGGAATCGTCCAGAAGAAGTCGCCTCGGAAGAAGTCGCCCAAAGGGACTCACCCGGACGAACACGCCCAGAAGAAGTCACCTCGGAAGAAGTCGCCCAAAATAATTCACCCTGAACATGTTGCCCGGACGAACACGCCCGGAAAAAGTCGCCTCGAAAGAAGTCTTCCAGAAGAAATGCCCCAGAAACAGTTACTCAGAAGAAAATCAAAAACGGAATCCGCTGCAAAAACGTTCCGACAAAGTCTCATTATCAGACATTCACCAAAAAAACATTCGGAAGGAGCACGCCGGAAGAACTCACTCGGAAGAAATCGCATCGGAAGAACTCACTTTCGGGAAAAGTCACCCGGAAGAAGTCGCCCCGAAGAAGGGGCCCGGAAAAAGTCGCTTCGGAAGTCATCACTTTCGGAAGAAGTCGCCTGGAAGAACTCTCCCGGAAGAAGTCGCCCAGAAGTCGCCTGGGAAGAAGTCGTTTCGGAAGAAGTCCCCCAGAAGAAACGGTAGGCTTTCAAAAAAAACTCGCCTTCTCGGAAACCAGCGTCCAAAACGGTCAGCACAGGCGTGCCCAAAGATCGCCCAAAAAGCCAGCGCCCAAGGGGGGGGACTCGATTGTGGGGGCGCAGGAGCCCCTCCCCTCGCACACACCCTTTGTGGTCCCAGAACCCGCCCGCCAGAAGGCCCGCCCAGACGCCACCCAAGAAGACCCTAAGGGGCCCCGGAGGCCCATGGAAAGGCCAACAGGGGGCGCCAGAGAGGCTTCCAGAAAGTACCAAAGGTGCCCCCCAAGAAGCCCCAAGTTGCATCCAAGAGGCTTCTGGTCCACGACCCAAACCCAAGGAAATGTCTCAAAGACGCAACCACGGAAGATGGTGCCAGCGGAAAGCTACCATGTGGGTTTGGCGACGCCTGCCATGTCTGCCTTGCGCTCCTTAAGGGCCTACCTCCAACACCATGTTAGCCCACACAAACCGCCGATTCCTCAAACGGACAAGATTGCTGGCAGCGCACGGACGAAAATGATGAATGCTTGACCACTTGGCACATATTCATATCCCTGAGTGGCAGAGGACACGCCACACATTCTACATCAATGGCGTTGTGCACGACTCAAGTATGGTGCCCCTTCGCCCTGTGGAGACGCCCGTCCACCATACCGCCTGGCTTGAGGCCCTGAGTCAGACTGCAACGGTAGACCTTGTCCGTTGAGGGAATGGCTGTGTCAACCGACACAAGAACGCCCCTCCACAGCTCCGAGCTGCCACAGACGAATCGAGGACGGCCCCCAAAAAATCCCAACCACTGACCAAACAGCCGCGAAAACGTCCCCGACGCTCCAGGAGGCGCCCCCTCGCATTCCCAACGGGATCCCAGCGGGCCCCGAAGATACCCCCAACTAAGATGGCAGGACGAATCCCCACGAGGGCCACAGTGACGATGGGCACGCCGACATGCCGACACCCCCACCCCGGTCCTGAAACACACGGGAGGGGCACGGCCAGCGTCTCGGGCGATTCATGGACTCTTTCTTGCCGGCAGCGCTGGCGGACGCGAGCGCGACTGCAGAGCCGGCGGGCCGCGCAGGGGACACTGGGCGCACTGGAGCGGGTGGAAGAGCGTAGGACGGCCGCGGAGGAGCCAGGCATCCACCAGGGCTGGACCTAAAGGTCGTTTTCCGTTTTGTTTTCGTTTTGTGCTTCGTTCTGCTCTGCCTGTTTTCCTGTACCTCACTGCCAAAACGAAAAACTAAACACAGCCGAAGTGCAGCAAAACAGCGTTAGGTCCATCCCTGGAATCTGCTGACCCGGGTCAATCCGAGACCGGGTCAGCCAGGCTCTGCAGGACCCTGCAGGATCCTGAAGGGTCCTGCACTCTGGCCCGGGGCAGTGCACCCCTGGATCCTGCAGGCTCCTGCCGGTCCGGAGCCCGCGGCCGGCTCGGCGAGTCTGTCAGAACCCAGGCGAGAGCACGCTCTGGAACCTGAGGCGAGGGAGGAGGAGGAGGAGGAGGAGGAGGAGGAGGAGGAGGAGGAGGAGAGGAGGAGGGAGGGAGGAGAAGAGGAGGGAGGAGGAGGAGAGGAGGAGGAGGGAGGAGGAGGAATATGAGGAGGAGGGAGGAGGAGAGGAGGGAGGAGGAGGAGGAGGAGGAGGAGAAGGAGGAGGAGGAGGAAGAGGAGGAGGCGGAGGAGAAGAAGGAGGGGGGGGAGGGCACCGCCGGGAGGTCCAGCAGGCACAGCAGGTTGTCGTGTCGCCTCCGCCGGGACAGGGGGAGGGCGTCTCGTCCCCGAAACCGTGGCGCCGAGGGGGAGGAGCAACGGAACGAGGCTGAGAAAGAGAGTCCAAAGAGCAAGGCTGGGCGACCCGTGAAAGCGGTGGGTACAGGAGGGAAATCGGTAGACACGGCAGAAAGGATCAGAGGAGAAAAGGGGAAGGATAGCGACAGAGGGAGCGCAGGTGCTCACGAGGGCACCAGAAACGGTGCAGACGGTGGCCGTGGGCCCACATGCACACGCGCCTATATGCCGCACCTTTGCGGAGGAGAAAAACGAGCAGGAGGGCGAAAAAGATGAGAAACGCATCCACGGGCTGCAGATTGGTCGGGCGCATCAGCATGCCTTGCCGAGTGTGCCCAGAACATGCCACCCTGGACGGTGAAAACACCTTGCCAGCAAGCAGTGTTCTGCAAACCTGAACCCATGGGGCGGCCGAGGACGGACCTACAAACACGTGTCGCGAAAAACGATCAACAGATATTCAGGTTAACGATGTGCGTGGTGGTCCCAGATCACGGAGGCCAACCGAATCAGCATGCCGAGCTCGCTGGCAAGACGCTCGGCACAAAGGCCGAAAACGGTTGTCCTGTCCGTCACGAACAAGCACTGGCGACAAGGTGGGAAATGTCGTTTTCAAGATGGATCGAAAAGCGAAAGGCGGAGAATTGCGAGGATGCCCCAAGACCGAGGGAGGAAACGGATTGGGGCATGCGTTAAAAATTTTGGGGGCGAGCCGAGCGGACCAAACCCCGAGATCGGCGTTGGCTTCCATTTGGCCGTTCGCCGTTCGCGTCATGCCGTGAATGGTGGCCAAGCGAACATACCCAAACACGGAGGAGGTCAAGCGCCGATCAAAGAAATCCTCGAGGATCTTCGAAAGTCCATGGGGTTGCAAGGATTTTTCTCATAGGCTCCAGGGGGCTCGGCTTCCACAAACCTTTCTTCGCGATGATGTAGCAACAGACGGCCAGACGCGAACGCACGCGCACACACACACACACATACACACACGCGCACACTTTTTGCGTCGGCGGCTGGGCACAGGGTGATTGCTCCCGCGATCTGGCATCAGGGGGCGCACTGTAGGCGAATTCATGCCACGATGCACGAGAGAAGAGGAGGAGGCCCGGCGCGACGGGGAGAGGGGAAGCCAGGCCCGCTCAGGCAAGTCACTGGCTGCGGCAGGGGGAAGCGCCGTGGGAGGGGGACCAGCAGCGGCGCTGGGCAGCAGCTGGGGGGGGACTGCAGCCCAGCGGCGGCCGGGCGGGCCAAAAGGAGAGCAGCACAAGCGAAGCAGAGACCACACCAATGGGGGAGCCCGCAGAGCTGACGGTCCCAGGGGTGGGCCAAAGCGCCGAGACCTAGAGGCCTACGAGGCGCGGCGGGAGGCGTGAGGGGCAGGTCGCAGGCTGCCGCGAGAGCACCGCGAAAGGCGACGACCGCAAGCCAGCGTGAGGGCATGGGACGAAACACAAAGAGGCGGAGCCACGCAAATGGGGGGAGCGGCGAAGACCTGGGAGTGCCAGCAGGTAGGCAAGCGAGCGGATCCCAGGTTGGGCCGTAGCGCCAAAACCTGAGACCTGCCAGGCGCGGTAGGAGGCGAAAGGACGGAGCGACGGAAGGCCGAGTGATGCGCGATAGCGCGGCAAGCGCCGGTCGGCGGGCGGGAGGTGAAAGAAGGCGAATAAAAATGACCACGCCACCTAACGGGGAGCGGCGCGGGGCTGGGAGTACCAGCGGAACGGGGCGTGCGTCGAGACCAGAGGGCCTACGGGGCGGGGGTGCAAAAAGGCGGCGCGCACACACACACACACACACACACACACACACACACGCACACACACGCACACACGCACGCACGCACACACACACACACACACACACATACACACGCACACACGCTGCTAAAGTCGCCGGCGCAAAGGAAGCTCAGGCGCGGTCGGCGAGTGGAAATGTCAATGGCGAACGAACTTAATCGAACGCGCCATGATGAAAAAGCCAGGTCACGGCAATGGAATTTGGTAGTGGAGACGAGAGGTGCTGCAATGCCATAGCGCAGCGGCCGAAAAACCAGAGGAACCTAAACTCGACGCGGGTACTTTGAAGCGCAAGTAAAACCCTGGTGCTAATGGTGCCACTGTAACATCAAAACGATGCTAGACAGTGAAGACAAAAGACAAAAACCTGTAAAGTTGCCAGACCAAACGAAGGCGAATTAGCGCTGAGGAAGCAAAGGTCTGGCGAAATTCAAGGGCAGGGTGCTAACCTATGAGCATAGAAGGGTGAAGCGCAGAACCTAGATTGGTGGTGACGGGAGGCGCCGCGCACGTAAACACCGCACATGCGGAGCCGACGAAACCAACGGAATGAAGCCGCGGTAAAATCCTTGGTGGATGGCCACGCCACCAAAGGAGGCCAGCGTCAGTGACACGCCCAAGCTGGCCCAAAAAAAGCAGGCTGCAGTAAAGGCGCCGACCTGAATATATTGGTACCACTCGAGCAGCCACGCACCGACGTCAAGGTGCGGAGTGGCGCGAGGGGGGCCAGCCTTCCTGGAAGGCGGGACGAGGTCCAAGAGTGGAGGCGGCGTCCACGAGGCCCTCCCCGCTTCCAGGAGGCCTTCTTACCGAGACTCCCTCGGGCCATGGAAACCTCACGGCAAGAGGCTTTTCGCTGTTTTGGCCTCCGGCACACTTGTTTGGCCTCGGGTGGGGGCCACATGCGAACCCTACCCCTACCCCCCACGACTTTTGAGGGGGAGGGTGGGGTTCACTTTGTTCGAGAGCTCCCGAGCGAAGTGAACCCCACCCTCCACCTCAAAAATCGTGGGGGGTAGGGTCAGGGTTCGCATGTGGCCCCCTATCGGGACCGTCTGGGAAAGACCCGAAACGAGAAACTGGTCCTGGGGAATGGGTCGACACTCCCGAGGCCGCTCGGGTTGGGGGACGGAAAGATACGGATACGTGTTGTCCCCGGACCTCTCTTGGGGTGCGTTCTGACCAGAATTTCGAGGCGAATCCAGCGGTGACAACGAGGATTCCCCAGGAGGACCAGGAAAGGCCGAAAACGAAGGTGGACAACACGTATCCGTATCTTTTTCTCTTCCGACTCGGGGAGATCTCGGGCGCTCCCGCAGGGCCGCTCGGCGACGGGGCGCCCTGCCCGGGGCAGCGTCCCCCCCAGCGGCTCCGAGGGCCTCCCGGAGAGCGGCGGGGCCCTCGGGGTCGCTCGGCACGCCCGAGCGGGCGGCGCCCCGCGGCCGCGGCCTCCTCCTCCTCCTCCTCCTCCTCCTCCTTTTCCTCCCTCCCCCCCTCCTCCTCCTCCTCCTCCTCCCCTCCTCCTCCTCCTCCTCCTCCTCCTCCTCCTCCTCCTTTTCTCCTCCCCCTTTCCTCCTCCTCCTCCTCCTCCTCCTCCTCCTCCTTTTCTCCTCCCCCTCCTCCTCCTCCTCCTCCTCCTCCTCCTCCTCCTCCTCCTCCCCTCCTCCTCCTCCTCCTCCTCCTTTTCTCCTCCCCTCCTCCTTTTTCCTCCTCCCCCATTCCCCCTCCTCCTCCTCCTCCGCCTCCTCCTCCATTCGGGCAGCCCGGGCGTTTCTTTCGCCTGAGACTTCCTCACCATTTATGTCCCTGAAGCTTAAACATTGACAACAGCTTCACAGATGGAGGGCGGGTCATTTTCAAAGTGTGGTTCTCCCTTTAGCGCCGCGCACATTCGCTTCAAAAATTGGAAAAGTTTCACGGATTGAGGGCGGAAGATTTTCAAAATGTGGCTCTCGCCTTAGCGCCGCGCACACTCCGAGTGTGCGCGCACACCTTCTTCAGACGAATCATCTTAAGAAGATGAAAGAACTTTACAGAAAGAGGCCGGGTGGTTTTCAAAATGTGACTCTCGCCTCAGCGCCGCGCACATTCGTTTCAGATTATGTTAACGGAGTTTCCCACATCGTTCTTTTGTGTATTGGGGCGCGGACTTACAGGGGGGGCGCAGAAGGTGTAGGAAGATGGATAGAGGGGGACAACGAGAGCAACGCTATCGAATGGCATACAAGACTCTTGCGAAATTGCCCCGTTCTCGTAACAGCCGTCGTCTCGGTGGGAGGGTCACGAAATCTGATACACTAAATAGTTTCCAAATGCCCTCCTCGCTCAGGCGGGGACTCCCTGGAGGGGTGAAGGGACACGAAACCTGACACATAGCATGGTTTTCGAATACCCTCCTCGCCCAGGCAGAGCCTCCCTGGAGCAGTGGAAGGGACATGAAACCGGGTAAATGGCATGGTTTTCGAATACCCTCCTCGCTCAGGCGGGGCCTCCCTCGAGGAGTTGGGGGGCACGAAACCTGACAAGTAACATGGTTTTCGAATACCCTCCTCGCTCAGACGGGGCCTCCCTGGAGGAGTGGAAGGGACACGAAACCTGACACACAGCATGTTTTTCGAATACCCTCCTTGCTCAGGCGGGGCCTCCCTGGAGAAGTGGGACGGGCACGAAACCTGATACATAGCATGGTTCTCGAATACCCTCCTCGTTCAGGCGGGGTCTCCCTGGAGGAGTGGAAGGGGCATAGATAATATGGTTTTCGAATACCCTCCTCGCTCAGGCGGGGCCTCCCTGGAGGAGTTTGGGGGGCAGAAAACCTGATACATAGCATGGCTTTCGAAAACCCTCCTCGCCCAGGCAGAGCCTCCCTGGGAGGGGCACGAAACCTCACAAGCAACATGGTTTTCGAATACCCTCCTTGCTCAGGCGGGGCCTCCCTGGAGTGGGAGGGGCACGAAACCTGATAAATAACATGGTGTTCGAATACCCTCATCGCTCAGGCGGGACCTCCTTGGAGAGGTGGAAGTGGCACGAAACCTGACAAATGGCATGGTTTTCGAATGCCCTCCTCGCTCAGGCGGGGCCTCCCTGGGACGGGCACGAAACCTGACAAGCAACATGGTTTTCGAATACCCTCCTCGCTCAGGCGGGGCCTCCCTGGAG